CGGTAAAGAAATTTTAACCGAGAGTTGGCCTTCTTAAGAACAGACTCGGCCAAGGCGCAAAATGACAGATTTTGGTCTATAGTAATCCAAAGATACTTGATAGATGAAGTTGATTCAATGGATGTACCAGAACAGTTTATATGCAGGTAACATTGTGACCAAAGCTTTTGCCTGGACCCAAATAAAATTGACTCGGTTTTACCCAAGTGCAATGACAACTTATTGTCCACTAACCATTGGCTGACCAATTCCATATCATCTGTCAATGCCTTTTCAACAACAGATAAACTTTTATCAGATACAAGGATACCAGAATTATCAGCGTACAAAAGCAATTTATTTTTGACCACAGCTGACATATCATTTACATAAATTAAAAAGATCCAAGGATTGAGCCCTGAGGAACACCACATGTTATTTTGGAATTGGAAGAATAAATACCAGAGACATCTACAAGCTGCTGTCTATCTGATAAATATGATTTGAGCCAATTTAGGACGTCAATACTAAGACCTGATGGTTGCAGTTTTATTTAAAGAATGGAATGGTCGACTGTGTCAAACGCTTTCTGCAAATCCAGCAGCACCATACCAACAACATTATCTTCATCATTTTCATACCTGATAAAGTCTGTAAGGTGAATCAGACAAGTATCAGTATAGAAGCCACTCCTAAAACCTGATTGAAATTTATACAGCAGATCTTTATCCTTAAAATAAGCTTCAACCTGGTCATAAACCACCTTTTCAAGGATTTTAGATACAACATTAAAAATGGACACAGGTCGGTAATTACCAACAGACAATTTGTCGTTCTTTTTAAAGAGGGGGACAACTCTTGCATATTTAAGATCATCAGGGACTTGACCTTGGATAAGGGATAAGTTTAATAAACATGCTAGATTCAATGATCCCGATGAACCAAAAATACGTGACACTGCTTTACAGCTACCACATAGCACTTTGCACGTGCTGTTATGACGTGTTAATATCTGGAGAAAGGGTGGTCGCTCGGAAGCATTGTTAGCCGAGTTATAGTACCAGTGAACGTTTGAAAGCACTCTTTTTCAGAAGATGTAAGACGGAATAAATTTCGTTCTTGGATTTTTTAGGGTCAATTTTCATGGAACAAATTTGTTAACGATTTTGTAAGAAAGCAACAATAGATCATTCATAGCGCAAATATCGATCTTTTCTGGCATATTTCGGCAAGGGAATTTTTTATTTCGTTTTCGCCTACCTTACAAGAATATTGTAAGAAGAACATGTAATGATGAATCATTTAATTGTATTACAAATGTACCAGTACATGTATACACCTCGTGTTGAAAATGACAAATTTCATGTCAGAAAAAAAAGTAAAATGTATATTATTTATTTGCTGATTATTGTGTACGTATAAACCGACCATATGAACAGTATAGCTATCAAAGGTGTTTCATAACAAAGTATGTCAGTGGCATCTTAATAAATGGATGCCAATTGTCTGGCCTCGTTTCTTTAAGTCACAGCATTATATAAATAGGTTTTACCACTTTATACTTATGCTTTATGACAGTTCATAAATTTCATAAAAAATACCCCTCTTTAATTCAAACGTATCACTTTTGTATTCCCTGCATTTATTCAAGTTCGTCCTTAATGTGATATTTCCCATGTACAAAATCATAAATAAAACATATACGGTTTGTGAGTAACATTGAAATATATCAGCCCGAGAAAATTACTGTTACCCGAGGAATTAGCTAACATTATTTTCCACGCGATGATATTATTAATTATTTTTTTACCCAAAACTAATACTTCATTGGGACACTATTTCTATAGGTTTCTATAATTCAGATTTTTATTGAGTACTGAGAAAAAAATAGACTGTAATCAATGTAACAACACAACATTTTTAGTCACATGGTACACTTGAATTAACAGTAAGAATAACTGCCACATTAACAATACAAAACTAATGAAGGGTAATAATACGATTTTTTCCCAGATGTTTAACAACGGCACTTTTAATTATAACGTAAAGAACGTATTTTCACATCAACATTGCGCGGTAGTATATAATTCGATGAAATAAAAAAAGATCTCTAGCGACTAAAAGAGTCAATACTAAAGCGTCGACACTTACAGAAAAAAATACGTCTCAACTAGACATAATAAACTCTTGAAAAAGATTATTCTAATTTCAAGTTGATTAATAACGTCACTAATTCCTGATCCAGATCTAAAAAAAAACAACTAAAAACCTTTCGCTATCCGACTGCCACTACTCACGGTAATTATTAGTTTCAATTTCTTCAATTTAGTAAAATAAAAAAAAGATAGCATGTGCTCAGTAGAAGTGAATACTTTTCAATTGCTGATTTTTTTAATTAATATACATAATAATATTGTTTTAAGAATGTAGAAGATTAATATGTATAAATAACTTTTTCATATATGTTGTAAGTCTATGCCCGGCCATCTCCCAGGCTACTCTAGATTAAACAATCAAAGGCGGAGAATTGCTGTCCACCGGGTAATTATTTCCTACAGAGGAACGAGAATGTGATTGCTGTCTTTTTTGCCTCTCCTCTACCAATGTTGCCTCGATATAATAACATGATTCAGACACCAAGAATACTGGGGTAAATACTTCAGAAAGAATGGCGTTTATTAACGTTATTTATTTAATTGTGAGCTCGCTCAGGGTAGCGTTCCCTTTGTCACTTGTAAGTTTAACAGAATTGTTGTTTGTGGATATATTGTATTGATTGTCCAATGCATATAAAGGACAAGTTCTGATATGTATTATTTTGAAAAGTGTGCACGTAAATTAAAAAAAATTGAACAGAAGGCCTGCAGGATCCTATTAATTTTTAAACAACCTTCGTGATTTGGTATTTTATTTTAGAGAATTTTATGTTATATCTCTTTTGAAAATATAATATATTTATATACGAGGGGTGTTCCAAGATTAATGTTACTTTTGTGTTTTCTCTTTGATATAAGTCGTAAAGATCATTTTAACTTGCCTTGCCCCTCAAAGTACTCCCTCTCTCCCCTTATGCTTTCAGTCTATCAATCCACTTTTTGAAACAGTTTTTGTGCTCATCAATGGGTATACTCATAAGATACTGGTAAATGCCCAGAGCATTCTGGATTTGCATTTTTTTACAGACAGGTGAAATGTTAGTTTGGGGAACAAGAAATAGTCACAGGGGGCTAGGTCTGTTGAGAAAGCGGGGTGGGGGGAGAACAGTGGCCTTTTCCGCATTCAAACACTCAGTTACAATTAGTGCCTTCTGAGCTGGCACATTGTAATGCAAGAGTCTGGGGAACTTAAAACATGTTTGTTGCTGGCGGCGTTGATAGAGTTTCTAAGGTTTGCGAAGTACAACGTCTCTATAGTACTTGCCTGTGACAGTTCTACATGTCAGCACAGGAATTTGCACGACTGTGCTCTAGGATATAAAAACAAAACCTTTCTCACTGTTTATATTATTTTGGCAATGCTAGGGCGCCTTGCGTTTTTGATGGCCCATATTTGATTAGAGTATTTTCGTTTGGGTTCGGAAAAAAACCCACCAATGTTTCGTCACCTGTGGCCAAATTGCCAAAAGCCGTTTTGCTGTTTTTCGGGTATTTTTTCAACAAACAATTGGCCTTTTCAACTTGGGACCTCTTTTGAAAGTAAATGTAGTATTCACCTAGCAACTGATTCTTCAAAATACAACGAACACGTGCTAAAGGCAAGTTATCGTTTTTCTTCAGGATTTGTCGAACTCTTTCAATATTATGTTTTGTCGTTGTTGTTGCAGGGCGGCCTGTGTGAGCAGCATCTTTCAGCTGCTTGTGTCATGACTTAAATCGACCAAACCACCTACAAACAGTCATATTCCCCATAAAAACACATACCTCGCAATGAATATCCTTCGGTGTTAAGCGAAGCAGAGACGTACATTTTAATGTTAAAAATTATTAAAATTGTTCTCGTTTAAAACCACAAGGCCTGCAGCTTTGATGTTTGGTATTACATCATCTAGTGCTTCTCTACAAAGATTGTTCATATAATGACCCTATTGTCAAAAGGGCACCTGCCAGTGGGCCCCTCAGTTTTATATAAAGTTATAAACTGAACATCACTAATTCCGCGTCATCACTTGTTTCAAGGTAATGGCATATTTTTATGTGAACAGTGTTAAATTTGGTCAGAATTGACATATTTTATTCAATCACCTAAACAACAAAGTTTTTGTGCAAACATTTACAATCTGTCCAAAAGAGTTAACTATAGTTTCTAATCGAATAAGCTTCTTTTGAAAGAAGTATTATTTTTAGTGGTGTTAGACCTGTTTTGATGTATTTCCGGTTTAGAGAAAACGTGGTTTAATAAATAGAATAAACAAGGAAAATCGAGAAATTATGCATTATTGATTATTTATTCCTCACAAATATCGATCCTTACGTCCATAAATTGGTAGCAGAGCGAGGTTTTCTTTGGGTTTTCATCGGCAAGACTGTATTATCGAATTTGGACATTAAGAAGCGTCAGTGTAATAGTAGTCGGACAGTAAGGTCGGACAGTCGGTTTTAACATTATGAGTGAGAAAGGGGAAAAGGGTACTTCTAGTACCGAATTACACACGGAGGAATCAAATATCGTTGATATGCGGTTAAGAAAATCGACATTGAAGGCAAAGTTTACACGAATGAAGAATAGGTTAAAATATGAGATAGATGATAGAAATGAGAACAAGTCTTTGTTGCAAGGCTTTATTGACAGACTAGAAGAAGCTATGGATAATGTACATCAAGTTTTAAAAGAACTAGTGAATGAATATACAATTCAGGGTAGAACAAAAGAAATGTTAGTCACTATGTCAGAGATTGAACTTATAGATAAGGAATATGAGAAAGTGATACAGGACTATCATAAGTTACAAGAAGAAATTAAAAGTGAAAGTGATCCTGTAGATGTTAGTAAAAAGCAAAATTGACATTGATTTATCAAAGCAAATGAAACGAGTATCAATACCAATATTCACGGGTTCTAAGAAAGAGTATGAATTTTGGAAAGCTGCATTTACAGCTTGTATAGATAAAACCGAGGCAAGTGCTGAATATAAATTTTTACAAATGCGGCAATATCTAAGAGGGGAAGCTTTGAAGTCTATAGAAGGACTTGGTCATAGTGAAATTGCTTATGAAAAAGCAAAAGAGAGACTTGAAAGGAAATTTGGAGGAAAACGAAGAATTGTGAATAAATTCTTAGACGAGATAGAACAATTTCCACCCATAAGATATGAAAACGCTAAGAATATAGAACAATTTGCAGATTTACTGGATGTAGCCATTGTCAACATTAAAGAAACAAATGCTGAAGATTTACAAAGTGGGTTCATGTATTCACAGTTGTTAAAAAAGCTCCCTGAATCAATGATTGCGAGATATCAAAGATGGATATATGAAAAAGAAGAGATAGAATCAGTAGAGATATTAAATGAATGGATACTGAAGGAAGCAGAATTCCGAACAATAGCTATGGAAACAAAATTTGGTCTTGATGGGAAGTTCGAGAAACCTAAGGATCAACGGTCGTTCTTCGGTAACATGAGACAGTCACAGAGGGAGTGTAAGCTGTGTCACATGTCACATGGAATATGGGATTGTAAAGCAATGAAGGAACTTTCAGTGAAAGATAGATGGGAGAAAGCAAAATCTTTAAAGTTATGTTTTCGTTGTCTAGGGAACAATCATTCTGGTAGAACATGCAAAAGAGTAAAAAAGTGCGGAATAAATGGTTGCTTGAAAATTCATCACAGACTGTTGCACCAGCCATATTTAAATCCTGAAGCTGTAGTGTTTAGCCCTGGTGAAAATAAACAGAATACTTTGCAAAGCCAACATAATACAAACGGTCAGACATTTACAAGTCAGGCATATACAAGTACATGTACACAAAATGTTTATGTAGCACTTCGTACAGTTCCAGTTCTGTTGTATGCCAATGGTCGAGAAATTCCAATTTATGCATTATTAGACGATGGGAGTACTAGGTCATATTTAAATGAAGATGTTGCGAAAGAATTAGGAGTAAGTTCAGAGTACGAGACTGTAAAAGTGAACACTTTGAATGGAAAATCTGTAAATCTTGATACAATGTGTGTGAACTTTCAACTAAGCAGTTTAAATAGAGACATTAAAATTAACATGGAAGCCCATACAACACAAAAAGTAACAGGGAACTTGAGACCAGTAGACTGGACAAAGTATTGCGATCAGTGGCCGCACTTAAAAGGAATTCAATTTCCATCAATAGGACATCGCCAAAAAGTTGATCTTTTAATTGGGATAGATTATTTAGAGCTACACAGGTCGTTGCAAGAAATTAGTGGACCGGAAGGTTCACCTTCAGCCAGATTGACTCCTTTAGGTTGGACATGTGTCGGCCCAGTACCAATGAAAGATGAGGAAATCAATTTATTTACATTTCATATGATGGACACTGTGAAGAAAGATGGTGAGATAAATGAGATTCTTAAAAGGTTTTGGGAATTGGAAGAAATTGAGGGTAAGCAGGGAACTAGTTTGAGTGTTTCTGATGAGAAAATAATGAAAATGATGAAAAGTGAAATCGTATATGATGAAGAAAGCAATAGGTACCTGGTTCCAGTACCTTGGAAAGAAAACCAAAGTGAATTGAAAAATAACTATGAAATGGCATTTGAAAGATTGAAAAGCACAGAAAGAAAACTGAATGCAAATGCTGATCTAAAAGCTTGCTATGGTGATATTATTAACAATTATGAAAAGAAAGGTTATATTTCTAAACTGACTGAAAGTGATTTAAAAAATACGCAATGGACATTGCCACATTTTCCAGTTATACGTCTTGATAAGGAAACTACAAAAGTTCGGATTGTTTTTGATGCCTCAGCCAAGCATAACTCGCTGTCATTGAATGACGTGATTCATCAGGGACCGAAATTGCAAAACGATCTATTTGAAGTATTGCTCAGATTTCGAAGAAATGCTATTGCCATAATTTGTGACATTCAGGAAATGTACTTGCAAGTAGAATTATCACCTCCAGACAGACTTTATCATAGATTTCTTTGGAGAGAATCACCAAAACATCCAGTAGAGACATATGAATTTAATAGACTTGTTTTCGGTGTTAATGCATCGCCATTTTTAGCACAGTACGTCACCCAGCTTAATGCCAACCAATTTGAAGAGAAATATCCTCTTGCAGCAGAAACAGTCATAAATTGCACATATATGGATGATAGTATGAATTCCGTGGAAAATGAAGTAAAGGAATTGATTTGTACAATGAATTGACTGAACTTTGGGGAAAAGCAGGTATGTGCGCAAGAAAATGGCTGTCAAATTCCACAGAAGTATTAAATAAAATTCCTGTAGAATTGAGAGCTTCCCAGGTTAATTTGTCAGAAAGTGAATTGCCAACAGTTAAAACATTAGGCTTAATTTGGAAGTCAGATTCGGATGAATTCACATACAGCTATACAGAGTCTAGATCAGACATGAAAATATAACTAAAAGAAGTGTATTAAGAAGAATTGCTGCTCTTTATGACCCTTTAGGTTTTTTAGTTCCATTCACAGTGAGGGCAAAGATGATTATGCAGAAAATTTGGCTGACAGGATTAGATTGGGACATTGAATTGCCTGAAATGTTAGCTTGTGACATAAAGCAGTGGTACAGTGAACTTAAAGACTTGTCAAATATTAAGGTTGAAAGGTGTATCCATGCATCAGATGACACTGAACTTCATATATTTGTTGACGCATCAAGTGAAGCGTATGGATCAGTAGTGTACAACAAAAATTCAGCTTTACAGAAGCCTAAATTTGTTGCTGCAAAAGGAAGAGTCGCTCCATTAAAATCATTAAGTATTCCGAGAATGGAACTTCTAGCTGCAGTACTTGGATTAACATTGACATTAGCAATCTGTTCATCATTGAAAATGAACATTCACCAGTGTACATTCTGGTCCGATAGCATGAATGTTTCTGTATTGGATTCATAGTCAAAGCAGGAAGTATAAGACATTTGTTGCGAATCGTGTAGGGTTCATTCATTCACATACTTCACCTAGTCAATGGAGATACGTACCCACAAAAGAGAATCCTGCAGATCTGGCATCACGTGGAACGTCGATAACAGAACTGGCTGGAAACCCTCAGTGGTGGCATGGCCCAGACTTTCTTGAAAATACTCCGGAATTATGGCCAGAAAACAAAATGGAAATACATGATGTGGCTAAAGTAGAAATAAAACGCAAGTCGGCTTATAACAGCTATGTGACATTAAGTGAGAATAATGACTTTAGACTTGAACCAACAAGGTACTCTGATTGGAATCGTTTTAGTACGAATATCGGCTTGGGCTCATCGATTCATCGATAATTGTCAAGTTGCAAAAAAGGAACGTAGATTATCATTAGAATTGAGTGTTCAAGAAATAGAACAAGCAGAATATAAGATTATTCAAACTGCACAAGCAGAATGTTTCAGTGTTGAATATCAGTGCCTTAAAAAAGGAAAAAATGTATCTTCAAGTAGTAAACTTGCACCGTTAAATCCGAAACTGGACTCTGAAGGTGTAATGAGAAGTGACACTAGATTAAAGTTTGTAGACTTCATCTCCTATGATGCTAGATTTCCAATCATTCTTCCGCGGAAGCATTGGGTGACAAAATTGATAGTTAAGAATTGTCATGAAAAAACATGTCATGGGGGCACGAATTTGACATTAGCCAAATTGTCTGGTAGATATTGGGTCATATCAGCCCGTGAAGAAATAAGAAATTGGGAAAATCAATGTGCTAAATGTAAAAGAAGCAAGGCGCAGGGTTCAAATCAGATTATGGGCGCATTGCCAGTTGAACGCTTTGGACAATCGATGCGAGCATTTACCAATACTGCTGTGGACTATGCCGGACCATTCATTACAAAACAAGGCCGTGGGAAAACGAGACTTAAGCGTTACCTTTGTGTATTTACATGTTTAACAGTAAGAGCTGTACATCTTGAAATAGCTTACAGCTTGGACACAAACTCTTTTCTCAACGCTTTAAATAGATTTATCAGTCGTAGAGGTGTTCCAAGTGTTATTATATCTGATAATGGGACAAATTTTGTCGGTTGTGTTAACGAACTCAAAGATCTATACAAGAAACTTGATCAAAGTGCTATCATGAAAAGTGCTGTAAATAGAAAAATTGAGTGGAAATTCATTCCACCAAATGCACCACATTTTGGCGGATGTCATGAAGCTATGGTAAAATCGGCAAAGAAAGCGGTATATGCAATTTTGGGGAACGCGGATATCACAGATGAGGAATTAGTAACAGCAGTCGTTGGAGCTGAAAACTTGATAAACAGCAGACCTTTAACGTATCAGACATCAAACCCAAATGATGATACATACTGCGTTAACGCCCAATCATTTTTTGACTGGCCAGCTTGGTGGACAATTCGCTCCAGATATTTTGGACAATGATCGTTATGATGTTAAAAAACGATGGCGGTATGTCCAGGAACTCCTACGCCATTTCTGGAAGCGTTGGCTTAGAGAATACTTGCCAACTCTGGGATCTCGATCTAAGTGGTTTCAAACTTCACGTGACTTCAAAGCAGACGATATTGTGTTAATAGTTGATCCAAACACACCCCGGGGCATTGGCCTCTAGGCCGAGTGACAAAAGTGTTCCACGTCCAGATGGACATGTTCGTGTTGTAGATGTTCAAGTTGGGAGGAATGTATTTAGACGACCAATTTCGCGTTTAAGTCTAGTTGCAGAATCAAGCAAAAGTTGTTAGTGGCTCAAAGAAAAAAAGTAAACAGAAAAAGTTGTTAAATTAACATTAAATGTATTAAAAAATGAAAGCATAGTGTTTAAGGGGCATAATAATCCCCAGTGTCTTCTTTTAAGATTAATTTGATGAGAGGCATAGTGTTAAGGGGGCATAATAATCCCCAGAGCCCTCTCATGATAAAATCTAGTTTTTCATAAATGGTACATAGAATTGGAAGAATGAAAGAACTCGAAAGATATCGCAGATTTTCAAAAGACTCTAAAATACATTGATATGTTAATTAAAGAAAAATTTAGTAAGACTTTAACATTTCAGTTAAATGATGTTTGTTTTTTTGTTGACTATATGTGTGTTGTATTTCTTTTAAACTGCAGCAAAGTTAAAATTGAACTTGTGAAAATAGTTGCTGTTTAAATATAATCAATTATCAAAAATGTTTGACATTTAGTTTTTTAAGAACAGACTTTTACTGCTGTTTACTGTACAAAGGGTTGAATTTATCATGTGTAGATAAAATGATGAAGACATTTTTTAAATAGTGGGTTAAAAATAGTTATAATTTACATGTATGTACATTTTTATACACTGTCATTCTTCATACTAAAATAATGTTGTTTCACTGTTTTTTTTTTGTTAAAATGTTAGTTAAACATTAAATATTAAGTTTGGTCTGACATATTTTTGGTTTGAAAAGTGATAGGAAGTTTTCTGTTTAATCATGTTTATTTTTTTTTTGTGTGTTACAATTTCAAATGTGATAAGGGAAGTAATCACTGCATTAGAATGGTTGTTAAAGTAAATTGGATTGTCTCCCCTTAAAAAGTATAATTATTAAAGAGACAATTGTGTAGAGATCATATACTGACTGTAGCAAAACTAAAGATGATGTGTATTTAGGTATATGTATATATTATGAGATTTAAAACTTAGGAATTACTAAGTATTGGTATAAAGTCAAATGTTACTTTATTTTGTGTAATTATGGTTACTACTGTAAATGAATGACAATTTGCAATTATTGATGAAAAATTGAATGAAGTAACATTTTAAAGTTAAAAGGTTATTTAGATTTTTGATAGGAAATGCATAACAACATGTACATTTGTATTTTTGTTTGATTTCACATGGTGTTTTTCAATTATGAGAAAAATACAATTTATTGTTAAGTATCAGTCTAGTAAAAATATCGTAAAAATTCGAGTACATTTTTAGGTACTTATCGTTATTATATAATTGTCAGATAGAATGATAATTGATCGTTAAAATTTAGTTATTATCATTATTGATCGGTAAGACCGATCAATGTGTGGGGGTATGTCCAAAAGAGTTAACTATAGTTTCTAATCGAATAAGCTTCTTTTGAAAGAAGTATTATTTTTAGTGGTGTTAGACCTGTTTGATGTATTTCCGGTTTAGAGAAAACGTGGTTTAATAAATAGAATAAACAAGGAAAATCGAGAAATTATGCATTATTGATTATTTATTCCTCACAAATATCGATCCTTACGTCCACAATCTATACATTTTTACGATAAACAGAACAACATTTTACAAACTTCTGCAAAAAGCAACAATAGTCTGTTAAATTTGTGTCCGAAACAATCATCATTTTCTAAATTTTGTTTCTAAATTTTGAGTTACAGTGTAAAGATACTTTTAATATTTAAAATGATTTTTATATTGTGATCTTCTGAGTAATTTGACTTGTGAGAATATAGATTCAATTTTCAATAAGCCCATGACAAGAACAATAGTAAAAATTCATTTTTTTCAACGGTTTATCTGTAAATGAAAATATATTCTAACGCAAGTAAACTTAAAAGACACGACATTTAAGTAATTGCTGTAAACGTTTCAATTTACGTATTGTAATTGAACTCCTGTCCTATTAGCTCAGCAAGTTTCTTGTTGTACAGTTTATAAAATGAATCTATAGCTGCTTCTGTTTTCGTCCACATATTTCCAGCACTTGTTTTTTTCTCTGTGTTATTGTTTGTTTTTGCCATATCTACAACACGATTCAAAATACCCGCCGAAGGGATCCCTATGATTGAGAATTATAAGCTTTTAAGAATTCATCATTTACACAGTGAAAAATATTTAAGATGTGAAAATTGAAATTTTAAAATTATATTTTAAGTATATGTCTTATGTCTTTTATGTAGGCTTATTTCCTGAGCTTTATTGAAAAATGTAAATATTTCTTAATATTATCTGAATGTTGTAGGGGTATACTGTTGCGACTATAATACTGTCACGCCGCCTGGCAATCTATGTGCGCTTCTTTCCTTAAATTTCTCAACCAACTTTAATGAAACTCGGCAGGAATGATTTTCAAAATGTCTATTTGCGCATATCGTGAGAAAGTTGACATAAATTACATTAACCTTAGATATTAATTATCTATATTATTGATGTCACTATAATTGATTATAATTGTGTTTTATAAGTATTGAAGATGTATATGGAGATGGAGATGTATTGTATTGGACAACAAAGTCCATTAAACAATACCTTTTAGTAGAATAAGCTGAATTTGACTTTGATCTTTAAATGCCCTCAAGTTTTTAATCAAAATATATTAGTTTTAAATTGGCCATCTTTTTGTTATTTATGGATGGTTTTGATTCCTATTTAAAGAAATAAGACTAATCATCAAGTTTTGCTATCCGATAACTGTTATTGACTTTTACTAGACCTTCACTAATAAATGCTTGTATCAGTTGTTTGTGTGTTTGATAATCAGGTTCTGCTGCTGTTTGTGGTGGACTTTTTTTAAGGAATAAAGGAAACCTTAAATCAGTTCGTAACTTAATGGCACATGTAATAGAACATCGGTGGTTCCCAATAAGACATATCAAAAACGAAATATTTACCTACTTCCAAGAAGTAAAATATGTTTCTCATGTGGAATAACTTATTAACAGAAAAATCTTCAAGCTTGATGATCTTCACTTGATCTTTTGGAAATACTCGCAGAAAATATCCTATGTAGATATAGTATAAACCAATGTTCAATCTGACCTGTTTTAAATGATTTTAATATATATGTAATGCAGTATATAATGCAGACTTTCATGTTACATACATTTTATTTTGTTTGTTTGTTGATGCAAAAAGAAATGTAATTTTCATTTTTATATATATGACCAGACGGACAAGACATTTGAACAACTGGCCCACTTGGATTAAAGACAATCGCAAGCAACATCTTCTTGGCAAAGCATGTTCGTTTGTTTTTGTGTATATCCACTGTTTGTTATCTGTTTGTTATCTGTTTCGCTTTGAGATTCGACTCAAACATATGACCTTAGCTTCATTTCTTGTTAGAAAGTTAGAAAAATACGACTATCTAAGTCTTTGTGTGTTTTTAGAAGTTCTTGGGCACACGTTAGGCGCACCGTTCTAACACAAGCCTTTTTGTCAAGCCAATAAACTTGCCTACTGTTTATTGAATACTGTTTGTATGTAAAAGTAGGACGAAAGTTATGCAAAAGTTAAAAGTGCTGTATCCTTTCCTGAAGTCTCTCATTTTGTTCTACTATAACATTTAAAGTAGCGGAGTTTGCCTTTGTAACCGAACTTGTAGGCCTACCTGAACTGTAATACTATTTTACAGACAATTTTTTAGTTTAAAAAGCTTTGACCTACCAAAAGATTGTGCGCTTTAAGAAGACCTGAGGCCAATGTAAGTTTTCCTTTAATAGAAAATGCGGGTTGTTCTGGCATAGCCCTTGCGTTTCTTATATAACATAATTATGTTAACGGAAAAGTTAACTAGTTATACAGATAATTATCTGATACTTAAGTTAACAAACAAAAACGTTTGAAGTACACATATAATCATTTTTTATTTGACTGGTAAATGTTGGCAGTTCTGAGCATTTATTTACTGTTTTTGGAAGTTACATACTTATTCGTTATTTATCTATATAACAGAAAATATATCTAGTTAGACTGATGAATATCGTGTTTAAACGAAAACTAACTCGTTAATCAGATAGTTAACGCGATATAATTATATAGTTAACTGTTGGTAGCAATGTGCCTCCATACAATAGCATGACACAAATCGTTTGAGTTAGTTATTCAAGTGGGGCGTTTAACAATATGAGGATAAAATTACGACATAACTTATTGATCGATCATCGTGTGTCAGTGTATATTTAAAGTGTTATATACTTTTCTCTCAAGGGGATTAGGGGAGCGTACCTTTATTTATATAAGATCAATTTTACTTTACATATTCATACTTTTTGTGAATGTAATGCATGGTTCCCTTTGTCACATTTAAATTTAAAATGATTTTGTTAGTCTAAGATAAACTTATGCATTTGTTGATTCGATGAAAAAAGTTTTATTGAGATGTTATTAAAATATATTATGTTGTAAATTGTTTGAGTGTTTGATATCCACAAAGGTATATAAGAGAAGATTTTAAATATGAAGTAATATAAAACATCATTATTCTTCAACATTGCTTAAAACAAAAACAAAGCAAAATGAGTATTTATGTAGTTATAAGTGCCATCTTTACATTGATACCCCATTCACTTAAGTCCGTTCTCTTTAGAATGATATGTTTATAGCTCATAAACAAGTGATTACTCGTAAACAATAAAACAATAATGGTTGGTAGAAGATCATCAAAGTATGCCTTTAAATTCAGTCAATTATCAACGAATGTTGTCTCCTTGACACTTGGTGCAAAAATATTTTGGTAAAATTTGTTCTGTATGGTTAAAATGGCATGTCTGCTTTATTATTTTTACATTGGTTTTACAAATTCAATTGTGGGTTAATTTCTACTGAAATTGCACTCATACCCGTCAGTCTTAATCAGATATGTTTTTCGAGATGGTTGCTAAAGTGGATCAAACAACTAATACCTATGGAAGACCAGTCAAAATGCAAGAAACGTTGGCGTTACAATAGGATTAGATCATACCATTCTCAGGCGTTATTTGAAAATGAGAAAGATCTTTGATCGATGAATTCCACATTTGCTGACAGATGGGCAGAAAGAAAGCCCATTAGTAACGAAATCAAGTTTAATTTTTCATAAGTCGCAACGGAAACACCAAAACAAGAGTACCAAAGTATGACAAAGGACAATGCATTGCAAACAACACCATCAGTATAAAGAATGCAATGTACGATAATTACTTTACAACTCATGGTCCCGCATTCTAGGTTGCTGTTCCTAAAGGCATATCTGGTAATGCGAAATTTCGTCTAAACAAATACTTTGGAGTTAACTTTGACCAATGCCAGATTTCCACATGACAAGACGTTAGAGTGCAAGATTATATTAAATAGAGAAAGGTTGTTGGACTCCTTAATCCTCTATGCACCTGACCTTATCATTTGTGACTTTATTGTTTCCAAAGCTTATAAAATACTGTTGAGGTCAAAAATATCTCGGTCTTGCATTATTTCAGTATCTTCATAGTATACCTAAACAATACAATGAAAATGCCTTTTTAGGTTGGATACAGAAACTGAAACTTTTTATATCTAGTAGACATGAATATTTGAAGGTTCAAAATAAATAATCCTATGAGAACTAAAAATTTACGTGCTAAGATACATGAATATTTGAACACTTCTCGTACCAACCTTCTAATGCAGGATAAAACTATTATACTAAACATACGGGTTCTCTTTTTATTTAATGTGTATGTGTGTGAGTGTGTGAGTGTGTGTGTTTTTTTGTGTGTGTGTGTCATGGTGAGTGCGTGTGTGCGTTGGTGAGTGTGTGTGTGTGTGTGTGTGTGCGTGTGTGTGTGCGTGTGTGTGTGTGTGTGTGTGTGTGTGTGGAAGTAGCCACACTTTAATTAAAAATATTTATATCTAAATATCAAAGTGACATCATGCTCATTGTTTCGTTAAGTTGAATAAGTATCGCTTCCTCACATACAAAATCCAAAGACTTGTCGGGATTCGAACCCACATTGGTGAAGCGTCGGCGGCTTTTACAAATTCGCATGGGCACCCACCTGATGTGCATAGTATTATTTTAACACATATAGTATTATATACTGTGTCATATAATATTATGATTACGATGTTTGCAAAAGCGGCTCAAATTTAAGCAGACATTTTGTTTACAAAAATATAATTGAAAACATTCAATATACATGTATCATGTAAGTGAAACTTACACTGTCCTTTTGATTAAAGTTGTTGGCACATTCTTCTATGTTTTGAAACCTTAAACATGTCTGGAATGCTCCTATTCCTTTGACCACACGGTTGTGAAAATCTTCAGGAGTCACGTTGTGTTTGTTAAAATAGACGTAATCTGAATAAAGCCTGAAATTAGAAAAAATACATTGCCTAAGATTTCACGTATTTTCTTAAGAATTAGAAGCCACATCACAGTTGAGATGTCTTTATCCTTTTTTACGGCGTCAGAACGACTGTAAAATATCCGTATAATCATAACATTCTGCAGTGTCGTAAAAATATAAAATCTAACAATACAGATTATTAAATAAACAATAGAAAATTTCCAATGGGCAGAAATAGCAACGGTCAGGAAAACATAGAAAATGTATGTCATAGTTAACAATTTGTAATGCGCGGGACAGATCAATGTGATCAGAGAACTTGTCGAGCGATTAATATGTTATATCACTTTTCATCGGATACCGACAATCTGAAAGTGTCAAATGTTATTCTGATATCAAATAATCATATTTCATATACACGCCTTAACACAAACCTTAACCCTAATCCTTAAATATTTTTTATCTGCATAAACATTAATTTTAAATGCTAATTTATATGTTATGTATATGATAATTATATCTCAATGAATCCGTATTCACCTGGCACTGCTCCGATGAATTTTGCCATAAATCAATTAACGATGAATTGAATGAAGTTATGCTCACTTGAGGAACTAAATACCGATATCAAGGATGGTCGCATTGTATGCAAAGCACTGTTTGAATATGATAAACAAGATCAACAAGGAAAGGCGTTGTTCAATGAACGCAACCCCACACGACCCAGCAACAAGAACCAGTGGCAACGATCCCAGGCAGACCCTAAACAAAAACAGGACAGGGCACAAGTCTTGAAGTCTTTTTTCAGAGACATATGCGTTTGAAGATTTTTTTTTCGTACATACGAGAAATAACAAAGGTTGAAACTATATTTTTGAAAAGGATTCTATAATGAATAATCAATTAAGTTCTAGATGACGTCTTTAACTTTCAGTTTAATCGACATTTTCTCATTTTGTAACATTTCAATGCCGGATGTACGCAGTATCCAGAACGCATTCAACGCGAACTACTAATGTGAAAAGGAAGATTTGTGTCAAGGCATTCAAGGAGTATTTAATCAAGAAGTAAAAACATTTTATTTGCAAACGAAATTGAATGCAAATCTATTTACATGACTCGTTTTTCTTTAAAATACCGTTTGATAAAGTGTTCTTGGAATCATTTTGATGATGCGCGCGCATCGCATGACCCCTTGATATTGTTAAAGTGTGAGATAAATTAATTTAAAAAAATGATCAGGATATTGTTAGCTATACATGTTGATGATTCATTAAACGGTATGTCGGAAAAATCAATGACAGAAAATCAGCGACGATGACAGTCTATCTGACCAATTTTCTTTTGGGGACATTTTTTAAAAAACTGTGACTTTCTTATATTTTGTAAAGTATGATGGACATATTGGTACTTATAAGAGTTATTTGTTAACTAAGTTTAAATAAAATTTGACAACGTTTAGTTTGGGAAAAATCCAAATCGCTGTAAAGGAACAATGAAAGCGTTTTTGTCTCTGAAATTTCACATTTGAAAATTATCAAATTGATGCATTCTTTAAGAAAGAAATTTACGTTATTTCAAAATTTAATTAATTTTTTAGATATTTTGAAAAGTGTTTGTAGGGAAAATCGTTTTGGTTTTTAGGCTTGAAACTTTAAATATTTACATTTTTTGTTGTGACTGATTGGCATTTGTCCCAAACGCTTCCTAGATGAATTATGGGTTAAAAGATCCCTTTTATACTTACAAAAGTTTAAGAAAAGAGGAAAACCAAATATAGAAAGCCTGGGAAATTATTTTGCAAAACGGAAAAAAAATTTTTTACGCGTTATATGGTCGTTATTAGCAGATTTGTGTTAGTCCTGTTTTTTAAACCAAATTAATGCTTGCATAAATGTTTAATAGATGAAACCCTTTTTTCCAGGAGGTTATTTTTAAAGTTGTCAAAAATTTATTATTTGAAATTTGTAAAAAACCGGGCCAGTATCTTAAACCAGGGTAGAATAAATTTTTGTAGAATTTTTCTTAAAATTACTAAAATGAAACAAAGCATTTTTACCCCGGATTGAATTTCACGTTACATTAACCCTACTTTAGATCCCTTTTAAAAATATTTAAAAATTACATTTACTTTTTTCTTGTTTCCCGTAAAAGTTTTGCGTTTTATTCCTAATATTCATTTAAATTATGCTTTTTTCAAATTTTTAATATTTAAAGTTTAATTTTTCCCAAATATAACAAAGTGGCATAGGAATAAGCAGGTTGTCTTAATACTTAACAAAATTGAAGGCTACATGTTGGTGGTCTTTAACTTTATTTACTCGATTTCTAATAAACAACGGAAATTGTTTGTTTTTTCGACATAATTCATTTTAATGCACACCGACAATCTGAGAACAAATGAACTTCGCATCCATATTTGCTCTTGTATAAAGGCTAAACATCGTACCCCTGTAAGTACAGCAAGAAGTTCAAGTCGTGAAATAATGATGTTTGAACTTAGAGCAAGTCGGGCCTTTGAAAACACCATTTCGATATGCTGTTGTGTATTCCATTTCTGCATCAAATATATAACTGTAGCGTATATATACAGACATTAAAGAAACACACACGAATACTGTTGTTATCACCTTCACTAACAATGCATCGTGGTGTGGCTTGTTCACTTATTTCATGCCATTCAACAAGGTCTTCTTCATCAATTTTTAGGTCCCGATCGACCTTTGCCTTCCACAGTGTTTAAATGAGTAATTTTCTTCTAAGCGTAGAGGCAATTTTGCTCACAATATCAAAACTTTTTCTAAATTCCCATTTCATGCTGATCTTGTATAACAGAAACATATTTCTGTAATACATCTGATTTATCTTTGAACCTTGATGACTTAAATAGTCAAAAAGCTAGAGGATGATTTTCTTGAACTCCATGATTACCGCCTTTTTACAGCCACGTGACACAATATCTGTTATTCTTGAACACAAGACTTTCTTTGAACTTTTCTATCGCTTGATCATCCACAGTTCTTCCATTTGTGCTATCTTTTAATCCTGTTATTTCTATATTTAAAAAATCTCCAATGTCAGGTAATTTTGGAACACATGTGTCAACTTTTGTAAACACTTGTGTCTTAGAAATGTTATTGCCATGTAATTATATGAGTATATTAGCATCAGTAACACTAATTTCGATTTTATTTGTTCTCCCTGAAAAAATCCCACCAAGTTTCGGTGATAAAGGGTTCAGCCTGGCTGAATTTCTATTTTATGTCCTTACATTTTCTAAGTAATAATCATTTCCCACCAGCAATTCAATAGAATCTGTGTACATGTATTCTTCAGTGTGTATATCATCCGCTAGATTAAGATTCTTCAACGATCTGAACTCTTCTTTTTCCGATATAGACATTGGTTTTCATTGAATGCTTTCAGTAATTGTTTATATATATTTGCTGTTAAAGTGTTATTCTGTACATCCTTCAATCAAATATTCAATTGCGTAGACATTGTCGTAATCACTTTTGGTTTGTCACTGCCAAATGTAACTAGACGAATATCTTGGTTACTTTTCTTTTTTAGATAAAAAGATTTAGCCATTATTTCGGTAATGTATGTTCTTTGCGACCCTGAATCTAATATGATTCTTACGTGGTCTTTATTTTAACCATCTGAATCACAAGTCTCAGTACGCAATGTTTTTTATCATCACTTTTTCATTAGAAGATATCGGTGCACCATTTTCAATTCAAGCTTTTAAAACCGTAGAATGTTTTAGATTTTCCTTTTGTTCAGCTCTACCTTCAGACACACATGTTCCTTCTGCTAACGAATTTAAACTTTCATCTAAAGATGCCTTTCTAAATTTTTCTGGCTTTTGTGGTGTACATTTGATTTATTGCAATATACACAACCCCGTTCACTTTTTACAGTCAAGGAATGTGTCCTTTTCTTAAGCGTTTGTAACAGCATCCCTTTATTTGAGCCTTTTTTCGTTGATTGTTTTAAACTGCTGACATTCGTCACGCAAATGATATATGCTACAGAATCTACACATTCTTATGAGTTGTTCTTGTTGTTGTTGATGATGTTTTAGAGGCGCATGCTCTTTCTTGTCATATGCAGTCAGAGCTCCAGTAGTGTTACTTGTTGTTGAAATACCCCTGTAGCCTCAAAAGGTACTTGTTGATCTTTGAAACTGTGATTAAACTCTTAAAGTACAAAATCAGGTACAATATTAACACTGAGTGGTTTCGGTTTGTCTGATTTTCTCTGAACAACTCATGAAGCTTGATTATCGCCCCCTTTTTGTCTGTACCTTTTTGCACTTCAAGATGCATAAGAATTTCACTTGGTATTTTGCTCGTAATAATCGAAAGAACACTTGTTGCTCCTAATTCGCATGCATAACCTCCAAACTTTCAAGTTCTTTTGTATTTTGGCTCAGAAGTATTGCAAACTTTCGGTTTTATCCTAAGGGGATGCAACTATCACCAGCCCCTTATAATGCAAATCTATAATGTCTTGTTTATCCTCAAATCGTTCCTTTAGAATTTTTATGGCAATATCGTAGTTTTCATTAGGTGATGTCAGTCCAACGGTAGCACCTGCAGCTTCTTTAACGAGCTTTCACTTTATATAGTTGAACTTGTCAACTTGCGACAGCTTGTCATTTTCATGTACAGCACTAGAGAAAGAGTCCACGAATTCCGTCCGTTGGAGTTTATTTCCATTGACGGAAACCACGTCTAACTTTGGCAATTTGGCAGTATTCTCACTCTTAATTTAGAGACTTTGTTGCTTGTCAAAGAATTTCCGTTGCATTTTCATTTTCTTATCTGTCCGTTCTTGCTGTTGTTCAAAAAAGACTTGCTGAAGTTAAATCTGAACTTCACACATTTGTCATAAAGATTATCCTCCTTCGTCCGACTCCTTTTAAATGATATTCTCTGCTATATAAATTTTCAGATCGGTATGTACATTTATTAGTTTAAAGGCAATTCAAAAATGTATTTTATTTAGTTGTGTGTTTGTTTGTTATCTTGTCATATTACATACCCATTATATTATATGTATAGCAATATTTATGCAGAAAAAAACTCTTGAAACTTGAAACTTGGTACAACTGAGGACTTTTCGAAAACGAAAGCTGAAGTTCTTTCCCTAGCCTTATGGACCCCCATTTAACACACACGCACGCTCGAACACTCCTTCTGACCGACCGACCGATCCGCATACATATTCTAACTGTATCATTTATAAATACCATTTAATATGTGGCAGTCAAATCATTAACGTCTAGATTTATGTGTTTATTTTTATTGTCGAGTATTTTTGACAATGTGCATCCAGGAAAATCACTACATTATGTACAACATATCCCAGAGTTGCATACAAGTTTGAAAAATAATAAATGAATACGGAACTTGTCATAACACTGTGATTATCTCGCAACACCAGATGCAATTGCAGAACTATTTGTCTGTTTAAAACTTTTGACGTTATACTTCGGACAATCACATAAAGAAAAATTACAATGTTACTATATATAAAAGTTAAGGAACCACAGCTTTAAATTCTTTCTGCTTACTTATTAATTCATAATTAAATTGATGACCTGTAAAAGTGACAAAATAAACAAACATTCAAAAGTCAAAAAGTAAGTACTTTACTAACGATTGTTGTCGTTTTTTAAAGTATGAATGTTCGTTCGGTATAGAGTTGTGAAAATAGGATTAAAATACATAAAAAAGAGGTTCAGAGAAACCTAAACCAAAAGTACTAAATTGTTTTAAAAAGCAATGAGACACGAAGTCTTTATCTTTTTAAAATGTCCAACTTCTTAATTGTGTTATTATTTTGAAAAATTAAAGTGAGCTGTTGCAAATAAACAGCTTCTCTGACCAATAGAACGCGCCTTTATATGCACATCATTTGAGTCTTATGAGTTCATACATAGCTGTTAATCAGCAATTTAACGTCAGAAACCTCTATGGCTACCTTATATGTCCTGAAATGCTTTCAGTTAATGTCAATCTTAAATTTAGGAACACTGTGTACAAACATGTTGTTATTCTAATCTACTCAATGTAGTTACTTTTGGAGCTTAGAACGAAAAAAAACTCTCTTCTATAAGAAATGAAGTACAAATCAATTTTTTAAAAATAAATGCATTGATTACCTTAACGTAGGATTTCTCAATATAATAATGATTTTTGCATTGGGGTTTAATTTGAAGATTATATCTGCTGTTGTTAATAATGGTTTCGTTTTGTTTTGTCTTTTCTGCTCTTTAAAAAAATGACGATTATCCCATACAGTTGAAGCACTACAGTCTCCTGTAAAATAAGCAAAACAATTTTGAAGTATAATAGACTTCCTGCTACTCTATCAAGACAAGTTAGTCTTGAGTGTTTAACAACACTTACATCTCAATGCTTCCGATAATTTCTAGTTTCACAAGACCACCTAAACACATTCTTAGTAGAAATGAGACAGGTTTGCCGTAAAAATTTATACAGATTTTCTCTGCGAAAACAAAGTAAATGTCCCGTTATAACACATTAAATATAAAGTTTAAAACAATTTGCTAACAAGATTATCAAGTAATTTTGAAGGTACATAGACGGGTAATTGGACAAAATATAACTTTACATACCAAATATGGCTGAATGGTATCCGTTTGCAAAAATGTTTGATATATCTTCTCTCACACTTCTTTCGTAATAGTTGAAGTAATTTGAAAGAACATTGTTGTTTTCTAAAAATTCGATTTTGAAAATAAATTATTGTATAAAGTTCAATCCAATACAAAACTATAATCAGATATTATTTTTGGTAATATAAAACGTTTGCGTATTGCAAAATAATTGAAAAAAAAAATGTCAAGCGTGAGGATGATTTATTATTCCTCGGTATAGACTCTATCAAACATAGTTTGCAATTGTCATGTAAATTTGCTTTGATAAAGGCATCCACCACTCCTTTATCAGATTTAAAACATTTTTTTTTTGTAATTCTTCTTATTGAAATAAAAGGAAGACCATAAAAAAAAGAAAAGGAGATTAATATATGACTAATTTTTCAAAATTTTATGTACTATAGTATTTGGTTTTTTCCTTGGTTGTAGCTACTTAGAATGAGTACAAACATCAACAAGGCAAGATGAAGTTCACAAATCGCAATCCCCGACACAGTACAGCCACACCAGCAGTGCACCTAGGTGGCAACAAACCAAAAGAGGATAAAAGGATGGCAAAAGGAGGGGAGGGACATAATATGATATGTGTAAAATGGTAAGAACTGATAGAGCCGATGCGGGGAAAAGGTGGCAAGGGATGTAAGGAAAAAGGTAGGATGAAGAGCACAAATATAACATGAGGGGGAATGGAAAGAAATTTTTTAATGTCAATTACGACACTTTAACAAGATTAGATACCACTAAACGTGTACGCATTCAAAACATGCAACAATTAATAAAACATACATGTAAAGTATGTTAAGGAACACAGAGGGGAACCGCCTTATATGACGAGATAGAATGAGCCTCCGCCAAGTGAAATTCTATCAATCGTCATGGTCATATTAGAAGAAGTGAATAAACAAATATTTAAATGATCATGCCACGAAATCAAGCTTTCAAATAAGAATAACTAACAAGTGGAATTAAAATAATATACATTTATCTAGATACTTAACGGAAACCAATTTTCTAACCCCAAAGGCCAACAGTTGGCAACAAATTATCAAATCACAAAACTCTGACAATTTGCGCAAGGGCATTTGAGGACAAAGCTTCTGTAAATGTTCGGATAAAATCCCTTGAGAAATCTAGGCACACATAATAAAATGTTTACTATAGATATTTATTGCATAAAAGAGAAAAAAAAATCATAATTACGTAAACTGACAATGTGCGCCAGGGCAATTAATATCAAAGCTTCTGTGAAAGTTCAGACAAAATCTCTTGAGAAATGAAGGAGGATCGGCACACTGAAGAAATTTTTAACTGTATATGTCGTAAAAAGAAACAAAAACATAATTACGTCAACCATTACACTGCGAAAGTTGTATGGATAAACGGAAGTGTAGTGTACGGAATTCCGTATATCATTAATATACGGGTAGAAATGCGGGAAACGTGATATACGAAGATGTTCGGGGCCGTATATTATGAAAGTCGTATGTGACTAATATACGATGATCCGTACACTCGAAATACAAGGGAATTCGTTGTACGAAGTCCGTATTTTACAAAAATATGGAATTCTAATACTAAGTCTGTATATAACTAAATTACGAAAATCGGTATTCTTGCAAATGCGGATACTGTATATAGAAATAGAAAATTATGATTAACTTCTGAACTGCCCAATTCCTTTAAGAGAAAATGTAATATTTGTAAGACATTTGTCAGAATAGCATCAGATAGTAAATTAAAGCTTTAGCTCAATGCATCTTTTCTGTATCAATATTTATGTAAACTGCATACGTGTACAGAACGTGTTAAACACCGAAATATCCTTGACATAGTCTGTATCATGTACAGACAACAAACGACGATATGTTTTAAAATATCTCGTTATTTGTATTAAGATATACATCACAAGACGGTGTTTTAGCTCAAGGCCCCTTAATATGCTTTGTAGCCCATATTCGTTCTTTTTAAACCCCGCAGGCATGTATTTTAACACTTTTAGCATATTTCATATATTAAGTATACATAGTTTGAATTCTACTGTTCAAAGTTACAGGTAAGTTAATACATATGTCGTATAAGAAAAACAATATCTGAATGTGTTAGTTAATAAATTAACTAATTAATTAATTCATTCATTCAATTTATTACTTTTTTCATTCATTTGTTCTTAATTAATTAATTAATCATTAAATTAAATCATTTATTCATTCATTCATTTCTTCATTTTTATCATTTTTTTTGTACACCTTATAATGACTGTTTTCCCAGATGTAATGGAAATCTGATGGTTTTCCCCCATCTTCATTCTTTTTGCGCGGTTTCATTTATAACATAATATTGTGTAACAGCAACGTCTGTATTGTGTTAATCGGAGACAACACTGATTAAAGTCGGATATGGACCATACAAGCCAGGGTATATTATGTGTCGGTTTTTCCAATTACGTAAGTTTGCGCAATGTTTTGTCGAAAAACGGTCAACTTCACTGTTAATGCTTAACACAATTCATGTAAAAGAATAATGATCTCATAACTGGATGATTATGTGAAACATTTTCCGTTATTAAATAAGTTAAAATTTTCAATCTTGACCAGCATTAAAAAGTCAATATATTTTATGATTAACCAGATTTGTTTTATTTTATATACCCTGAATTACCATCTTAAAATAAAACAGATTTACAGATTTTATTGTATTCTTTTCAATGTTTTTCCACGTGGTGTTTGTTGTTGTTGTTATGTTATTTTATTTCTACTCTGCAGGGAATGCCATTTTATCTTTTTTAAAATGTGATATTTATAAAAGCTAGAAACAGATGGATGTCAATGAGGTGTTTGATGATGTCAAAGTATTTGAAATATCGTTTCCCGGAAAACATCGTCATACATATTCTCCCATCAGTCGTTTTTCATCATAAATCGACGACTTGCACTTGTTTAGGACTTCAAAGTTTAATCAGGAGAACATGGCAATAGTATGTAAACTAAACATTTGTACTTTGGCAGTAATGAAATATATGTTGAAGGATCTCTTGTTTTGATTGTAATTTTCTGTTTTAACAATTGAAATTGTCGCAGTTTATCAAAAAGTCAAACTAAGAACGTAATAGAACCTGGGGCATAGTATAAAAAATTACAGACAGAACAGAACAGATATTACACTAGAACATATAATGCAAAATGAAAAATGTATATATGTATGCAGACTATTCAAAACACATTAATGAAAGTAAAACATATGATTTATTTATATTATTGATATACAATTGAAATTACATTAATCGAAATAGTGATTGATATCATAAAAGATTTACAGAATTCCGATAATCAGACGTTAAGGTAGGAATAAGAAAAACAACTCATTCATATATTCATTCAGAAGAAGAAGAACAGTTCATATCAGCTTTAAACTTATTGGATTTTACTTTTTTGAAGCTTGTTTTTTATCCAATATGGCCGCCAAATTAAATTAAGCAGAGATGCATATATCCATGTGACAAAAGATAATGACCGGACTTTAGAGGTCACGTGTAGTTCTTAATTTATATACTATTGTGGTTTAATTATGTGTTAATCAGATCTAAAAATGTTTATTTACATGATATCTGAAAATTTATATAAGACCGTAACTCACCTATCACAGAGCTAGATCTCTGTAGATTATATTATTTTACAGTTTGTAAAAAAAAAACATCTGTAAAAAGTATTTGAATTGGAAAGGATGATTTCTTAAAGTCGTGAATACATCACGCCTCTGACACACATAACTTTCCATAAAGGCAAACAAATAAATAGATAAAAAAAGACCCCAAATGAAAATGTAGACATTACAAGAGAGAAGGTGACAATGCGTGTCAACCCCTGGCTATAGTAATATAAAGAGATTAATCAGTATGTGTGACATGACCGATGTCGTTATGGCTTATCTGGTGAACTGATTGGATTATCTTGAATGGTGTCAATAATCGCTTAAAATCAGAGGTGCGTATAAATGTGCAATCAAGTGAAACATCATCGCAAGTTACACTTAAATGCATTTTATCATATAGTACATACTATATGAAATTTACAGCTGAAAAGCTTCCTTTTTATCAGTTTTGTAATCAATTAAGAAATTTAAAGGACAAATCTATCAGAATATTGTTTTGTATTTCTATAAGTTCTTTTTAGAAATGAATTTCTTAATCTTGATAATTTAGTGAGCAAAATGCTTGTTATTATATGTATCGTCAAGTATATAAATCTACAACCATTTAATGCTAAAAAATCGATTAAGGCTCTCCTCTGTTTAAATATTTGAAAGTTCATTGAGCAAATATTTTACTCATTTTTATCAAACTAATTCTTAATGTTTAAAACAAAATCTGAAACAAAAATAACAACAATTGTTTCCTTTTCTTTTTTGACATTATTATACAATCAGATGCTTAGGGGAAAGCTTAAAAGTAAATTTCAGAATATGTTTTATTTACATTACCTCACAGAGCTTTTTATTATATGATAAGTCACTGAGTAATGTACAATACAGGGAATTACTTATAAAAGTTATTGATCATATTTGAAAAAAATGCCCCCCAACAAAAACAGACCAGGGTTTTGAGAAGGTGAAACGTTGTTTTATCACTTTTGATAAGCATTTTTTACTATTTTACGTACTAAAAAATTTTTCGTCACCAAATAACTAACACTTTCGTACAAGTAATAATTTACGAAATATTACCAATGTCCTCTTATTGCTTAAGTTTCATTATGTTTTGTCAGGGCAGTGAACGGTGTAATGGTGTTTTGAGGTCAATGGATATTTTGTATGCCACAAATCTACCGAGACCAAAGCTCCATTTCTGGCATACAACATATCCATGGACATCAAAACACCATTACACCGTTCACCGCCCTGAAAAAAACATAATGACCCGCGTTATTTCTGATTGGTCGTATTAGAACACGTGGTACAAAACCCAATCTTTACTGCATTGGTTGTTTTGAAAACACGTTATATAATGCCTTGATACCGTTTGTGTAAACAGCATCGGCATTTTTGATGCGATGTTTAACATTATC